GGAGAGACACTATTGGCTGATCAGGATGTGCTCAATACTCTCGATAGAATAACGAATAGAGCATGGATTCATGAAATGGAATGTGGACTACACTTGCAATATGCTGGTCATCAAAACTGCATCACATCTTGTGTTAGGGTGCTTCACTTTAATGCAATGGGAAGCCCAAAACATACACCATCTCTAGATTTAATGTTACTCACCACAAACGAGACACTCTCAAATCCAAATTGTGGAAATCCCATCTTTCCACATGAGCACTTGTTTGATTGGATTGAAAATCCCAACTATTCACTTACATGTAATTGAACCTATTTACGACTTGTCATAATTCGTAAAATATATTACCTCGACAAAATCAACTCACCTGAATTGTTTATTCAACTAGACAAATTTCACTCTTGATTTATAATCAATTTTCTCAATTATCAAGTTCTCTTTTATTCCATCACACTCCTGAACTAGAAACTTTAAAAAAAAATGGAACAACTTTACAGCTTCTTGGAACATCCCATAGTGAATCCCTTAATAAAATTCGGAATTACACCACTGCTTGCAACTGCAGCTTCTGCAGCAATGGCTGGTATGGTAGCTTTCGGAATAAGCTCCCTCATCTATAAGAATAATCAGGACCGATATTCAACTGCCAATATGGTGGTTGTTATGTTTAGTGGAGCTTTTGGAGGAATTGTGGCAACAACTGCTCTGCTCTTTACTCTTGGTTGGAAAATCTTAATCTTGCCATTCTGTTTGATTGTGGCTGGTATTCTTTATTTGAGGAGAAAATAAAAGAAATCATGAACAGGAATCCAATATTGTTGTGAGGATAAAAAAGTCAGTTCAATATAAGCTAATGATGTACAATATTCAACGTTGAATTCATGTGGATTCACGCCGAGAAGGAATCGATAAACTTACTTCATTACAACTGTGTCCACCAAGACCTCTTTGCTAGCTTCAACTTCAAAATTGAGAAACATCATGAATTTTAACCTTCAATTTCAAAATAAAACATTTCTTTCAAACAACCACGTCTGAAACCAAACAACAAAAAAATGTCACAATTCAATTTCAGATCAGAACATCAAAATAACTCTTCTTCATCAAAAACAACAAGTAAAAAGACCACTGCCACTAAATCTTCATCTTCTTCTTCTTCTCTGGTGGTAAACAATTTAAGAGTGTAAATACAACAAGTAATGCCAATCAAAAAGATAAACCAGAGAGAAGATTTCATTCCGAATCAACAAAATCAAATGCATTTACTAGTAAAGCTCCTGTTGCAGAGTCATCAAGTGGAAGTAGTAGTTCCACTGCATTCAAGTATATTTGTGTGTTGGATTTTGAAGCTGTTTTTGCAGACGATTGTAAAACTAATAGAAATTATGATATGGAAATTATTGAATTTCCATCAGTCTTGTTAAAATTTGAAAGTGAAAAGCAATTGGTTGTTGTGGATGAAATTCAAAACTATGTAAAAACAAGAAGAATTCCAAAAATTAATGAAGAATGCACCAAATTGACTGGAATTACTCAAGAAATGGTCGAATCTGGAGTTTCATTCGAAGAAGCACTCAAGAGACACAATGAATGGTTAATGTCTCATTTAGGAGAAAAACCAACCAAAGATAACATCCTGATGGCCACTTGTGGAGGTAAATATTTTCAATTTGATTAGTTTTTAACAATTCTCAAAGATTGGGACTTAAAAACAATGATTCCACATCAAGTTTTCTTTGAGAAACAAACAATTTCCTTAATTGGATCTCATTTCACACAATGGTGCAATGTCAAGGATGTATTTGCCAAGTTTTACAATATGGAAAAGGTGAATGGCATGTTGACAATGTTAAATGCACTGAAATTACCTCTCCTTGGCAAACATCATTCTGGTATTGATGATTGTAAAAATATTGCTCGAGTTGTTTGTAAAATGGCACAACAAGGATGCCACTTTAATGCCACATGTAAATTAAAAGTGAAGCATGGTGAATTTTCCAGAACAAAGAATGCAAATATTGAATTTACCAATTATGATCCAAATGTTTCTACCGAAAGTAACAATTAAAAATAATATTGAAACTATTAAAAAAAAAATGTCGAGTTATTCTTTTCATTTATTGTATCATCAGAAAGATCAAATTTTTGGTTTTATTATTAGTAACATTATAGATAACGAATTAGCAATGTCTTTGGTTGAACAATTTAAAAAAGAAACCACCATTTCAAAGTTATGGAATAGATTTTCTACAATACCGTCAACATCTTATCTAGAAAAGTTTCTTCATCCTATCAAACCAATTTCTTTGCAGCTTGGAGAGAGTTTGAACCTCATTCTCTTTGAATTCTATTGAATCAAGCATGTTAGAAAATAGACAAATAAGAAATTATTTCCTCTTCTTGAAATCAGATTCCTCATGTTCCTAATTCTAACACTATAATTATTAATGGATTCCACTGTTGAATCAGATAATTGTAAAATAGTAATAAATACTATCAAAGTTGATTCATTGATATTGTTAAAGAACATCTAAATGATCACATTCTTCTATTCGAATTAATGGACACCACTGGGTTCATCGAATATATAAGTGGAACAATTAAGAAACTTTTAATTCCTAATTGATTAAAGAATTTTTCAATAGTGAAAACAAAAGTAAATAGATCCACTGATATTAATAATGAAGTATTCAATGGTTTGTTTATGTTAATTTTATTAATAATAGAGAGTATATTAATATCCAAAATCCATCCCAAACCAGTTTTTGGATATAGGTGAATAAAAAATCGGCAAAAAGCCAAATTGAACCAAAAAGCCAAAATCTAAATCCAAAAATAAACTAAAAAATGAATTATTTCAAAAATAAAATATTCCAAATTTATTGTTGATTTATTGTAATTAGTATTGATTATAATAATTTATCCACACCAAAATATAATCTCTCCCCCATTAGCCTTTCATGATTGGGTAATGATAAAATAGTTTATTTAAAAAAATATGTCAATTTATTTTCATATATTACATCATCAAAAAGACCAACTTTTTGATTTTACTACAAATAACGAATTAGCGAAGTCCTTGGTTAAACAATTTAAAAAAGAAACCACTATTTCAAAGTCATGGAAAGGATTTTCTTATAAAAATAGCCTTTTACAACAAACAAATTTATTATTGGAAAAACGAATACCAATGTTCAAAGGTTTGTTAGTTGAATTCGAAACAACAATTGTAATTTCAGTATATCCCATAAAACTCATTCCAATATCTGAGTCCTTGTGTGGACGTTTGATTCTATGATTACCATTTTTTGATTTGGTGAGCTTGTTTATAAATAGATGTGTAATATGAGTATGCAAATGTAATTTTAAAGGTATTTATAAATCGGATAAAGAGACGTACAAGAAGGAGATATATGTTATGCTTTGTAAAACAATTCCATGTTGGTCTATTAAATTATCAAATTCTTCTTTATTGTTATAACCTTCTATTATCCAAATTTTGTTAGAGTTTATTTTTGTGGAGGAGTGATAAAATTGTACTTACGGTTACTTTTGACTTTGTTTTCTTGGACTTTTTTGATGGTTCGTGAATATCATTTCAAGTTAATCACAGAGTGCTTGGATATTAATATACTCTAAAAAGTTAAAAAAAAATGTCGAGTTATTCTTTTCATTTATTATATCATCAGGAAGATCAAATTTTTGGTTTTGTTATTAGTAGCATTATAGATAGCGAATTAGTAATGTCTTTCGTTGAACAATTTAAAAAAGAAACCGCTAGAAAATTATGGCATGGATTTTCTGATAAACAAAAAACAAATTTATCACCACCAATATTGATTTTCTCTTCTATTGGAGCTTTTGTTAAACAAATTGAGAAGTTATTTTCTTTTAAAGATTAAATTATTTCTTTTTGGAAAAGAAAATTCTTCATTATTATTTCATTAAGGTCTTTTGAATTTTGTGACCTCTCTTGCAATTTCTAAATATTAGTTCACTATCTCTTTCAAACAAATAATCAATAAAATCATTCATTGTTTGGCCATTGGATTATAATTCATCCACACCAAAATATAATCTCTCCCCATTAGCCTTTCATGATTGGGTAATGATAAAATAGTTTATTTAAAAAAATATGTCAATTTATTTTCATATATTACATCATCAAGAAGACCAAATTTTTGATTTTACCACAAATAACGAATTAGCAAAGTCCTTGGTTAAACAATTTAAAAAAGAAACCACTATTTCAAAGTCATGGAAAGGATTTTCTTATAAAAATAGCCTTTTACAACAAACAAATTTATCAGCACTACAAAACCACCAAAATTTAAAAGCAACAATCAATTATCTCTGATAATAATAATAGCTTTCTTATTGGAAAAACGAATACCAATATTCAAAAGTTTGGATTCAAGGTTTGTTAGTTAAATTCGAAACAACAATAACATTAATTATTAATTTTAATTAACAACTCAATAGCAACAACAGAACCTATGTTAAGTAAATCGTTAACATTGTAGTATTTACCCTTTTTTTTCAAACGAAGTTATTAGAATTAGATTTTGTATTGAACTAAACTTAATATTGTTATGCTTTGTAAAACAATTCCATGTTGGTCTATTAAATTATTAAATTCTTCTTTATCATTACAACCTTCTATTATCCAAATTCTCAAAGGAGTGGAAAAAGATAACCTCTAACAAACCAATATTAGATCGCAGTAAGCGTTAAGCTTTTAACAATAAAACAAGTAGCAACAAGCAAATTTCAAAAAAATTTGCAATTATTAAAAGTGTTAGAGTTTATATTATACAAAGGTTATGATATTCTCAATCATTATTTTTTGTTATTATTTAGTACGTTTTGTGGAGGAGTGTAAAATAGTGGATTGGTTGTTAAAATTGTACCTACGGTAACTTTTGACTTTGTTTTCTTGGACTTTTTTGATTGTTCGTTAATAACATTTCAAGTTAATCACAAAGTAATATTAAATTTTATTTATTTATTGACCTTTTCAATCTTGTTTTTTGAATTAATTTGTCTTCTTTTTTGTTTGATTTGTTGTTTAAATTTAATAAAGTGCTCACTAATCATTTCACACACTTGCTTTTCCAATTCATCAAACAAATCATCGTCCAATACGCTGCCAACATTAAATTCATCCAATACATTCTTTACTCGGTCTTGGAGTATCTTACTTGTTTTGATTGGAGTTTCACCATTTGGATCAATGAATTCGGAAAATATCTTAAATGCCACCTCATACTTGTTTCGTTCAATGGTTTCGAATTGTTCCTTGTGGATTTTGTCTTCAGAAATTGATGAGGCAGAATTCAATTCTGAATGATCATTGCCATATGTATGATTAGAATATCTCAAATCATGAGCTCTATCACATAATTCATGATAATCATGACAATTATCCAATAATGTAAAATAATCCAAACATGATTCCTTCTCACAAAATGTTTTAAATATTGGATTGTACTTTTCACTTGCAATTGCTTCCATAATCATGATACCTGTTGCCTTATTGAGCTTTCTCTTACTGGCCACATCTGTCGACAATGCAATGGCGAAAATCAACAAGACAATTGGCACACTAATAGCCACACCAAATAAAACCATACTCATATTGACAGCTCCAAATAATCTCAAATAATCCTGTTTCTCTTCACTTAATTTATCAATTTCCGTACGAACTATATTTAAAAGGATATTAGTATAGCCATCCATAATGAGATAGGATAAACTTTTTCGAACAGAGTTGGCAGAATCCAAATCTCCTTGTGCAATATAACCCATAATGAGATTGTTCAGACCAACGTATTGAGGTGAGGCAAAATCCAATTTGAGATTTTTCAAAGATTCGGCCGGAAGATTCTTCTTCAATTCCAGTAATTGCTGACTAGCATTGGGTTGCAGCATGTTATATTCAGCAACGAGTTGGATATCACCAGTTACACATGCCGTCTTGACAATGCAATCTATTTTATAGTAATTGGTCAAGAATTCCGTTCTGAGCAAGAGGAGATTAGTTTCTTTCTTGGCATCCAATTTGAAAGCATTTCCAACAATCACTGCAATGGCAATGAATGCACCAATATTCAATAACATTCCCAATAGAGATAAGACTCTCACTAGATTCAATTCAATCATACCACAACATGTTGGAATTCGAAAGGTGACAGAAGAGAGAGAGGACTTGCCAGATTTCCCTGTTTTTGCAGTTGTTTTGGTGAAGATTGATTCGGTTGTTGGTTTCTTTACAGTAGTTAGATTGTTTCCAGCAACATTTCCGGAAGCAATTGGTGATGAATTTTGAGCTCTATCTATTCGAAACTTGTCAATTTGTGGTTTGATAGAAGTGAGGGTAAGACGTTGAGTTTTTCTGGTAGCAACCTGAACATAGACACTATCTGAATCACTACAGACATCATTGTCATCCTCAAAGTTTGTTTCTTGTTGTTGAGTTTGTTCTTCTTCTTCCTTGTTGTTAACTTCTTTTAATTCTATCAGAGTTGGTGAGTTGTCATTAGAAGATTCAATGTGGTCGGCAGTTAATTGCATGGGAGTGGCATTTGGGTGAGTTGAGGTGGTGCTGTTTGACATTTTTCTTTGATATGTTAATGGCATACGGCGCTGATTTTTTCAAATTAATTTCATACTTTCCATAGATGGAAGACAGGTTACTTTATGGTTGCCGACCTCCTAAATTTAAGAGATGCCTATCACAAGATGTAGTGCATGCGAAAAATCAGTGAACTGATGATTAATCAGCTTTATTCTCTGTTGGATTTGGAGTTGGGGTTTGTGGTTGTTGGTTTGTCAAGTTGTCTGTTGTTGAGGGAGGTGCACTTGTACCAGGTGTGGTTTCCTCTTTTTGAGCTGGTTGCGTTTGAGGAGGTTGAGTACGAGCTAACTTTTTAGTCTTTTCCAAACTTGATTTGAATTTGGTATTGTTAGGTTTGAGTTGAATTGCCATATTGTGGTCTGCTTCTGCTTTCTGGTATTGACCCATCTTTCTCCAAGCAACAGCACGAGTATGGAAATAGTTGGCATCATTCTTTTTCAAATCAATTGATTTGTCAATGCTTTGGATACTTGCTTCATAATTCTTCAACTTTCTTTCAGCTTTAGCTCTGAAAAAATAGAGCTCTGCTCCAATACTGGGATTGTTAGCACTGGTTTTATCTTCTTGGTAGTGTTGAATGGAAAGATTCAAATCATCGAGTGCTTTTTGGTATTGTTTGAGAGTATTGTAACAAACAGATCTGAATTTGTATTTTTTGGAGAGGAATGATTGGTCATGCTCATCAAATTGAATCGATCTAGTGTAATCATGAATGGCCAATTGAAAATTTCCCAATGCGTTGTGAGAAATGGCTCTGTTAAAATAGAATAATCCTCTATTCTTGGCATCAAATTGGGCAATATTGAGAGCCTTATCATAGGCCTCAACAGCCTCCTTATCAAGCTTCAGTCTTGAGAAGCAGACACCAATATTATTGTAGCATGATGCCTCTGAGTTTGAAGAGGTGGCATAGGTTGCTGCCAATTCAAATTGTCTCAAAGCAGGACGAAAAGCTGCTCTATCAAGGAAGATTAGTCCGTACAATTCTCTTGCCTGAAAATTTGATGGATATTTCCACAAGATATTCTCCAAGATTCTAATAGCATCTTCGTATTCCTTTTGATTTTTCAAATTCTTTGCAATATTGACCCACTTTTTAACTTCCTCCGATTCTACATCAACCTTGTCACTTGCCTTCTTTAAATTCTCTTGAATCCATGGTGGCAAGTAAGCCTCCAATCTAGATGGTTCATTCCTGAATAATTTGTTTAAATCCTCAAAACCATGTCGTTGATCATAGGCTTGTCTCAATTGCCAATATTCATACGACAACAATCCAAGACTGATGAATAGCAAGAGGATTGCAAATTTGTTTCTCTTATTCCTCCTTCTTTCCCTCCTGAGATCAGAAACGAGATGATCAACAACATTCTCCTCTGATGATGATGTTGGTGTTGGTTGTTGTTGTTGTTGATAGTACTGTTGATGATGGCCATTATGGTACTTGTATTGATAATGTTGTTGATGGTGATGATTGTGTTGTTGATTGAATTGATTCATTAGAACGGATACCATTGCATGATATCCTCTCCTATTATTATTACTACTACAAATTGTATTGATCAATAAATCACCTAATTGATTTCCTGGCGATGCAACATTGGAGGTAGAGGCAATAAATTTCCTCAGACTCGTTGTTGTATGATACATTTTTTAATGATTGTTGTAATAATAGAAACATGATGTTTCCTTGCGAATATCATTGTTGATGGAAATTTGGAAAACAAATTTATTGGATGATGACTTGTATCAATTGATCATAGAATTAACATGTTCATAGTAATGAGAATCATCATCAAATAGAAATTTGTAATACATCTTGACTTAGGTTTTGTTGAGAGTATGATTAATAGTATAAACTTCTTTGGATAGCAGCACACAGAGTTAGAGAGTTGGATGTTGGATGGGATATACAATAAATTGCCATGCTTGAAGATTAAAACTTCATACTCTCTAAATAAATTAATTGAAGAGATTCATAAACTCGCTTATAAAGTCTCTCTTTCCTCGATAATCTTTTGATATTGTTGTTCTTGTTTGACTCTTGGAGTAACACCATTACCAGAGAACTTTCTATAGAAGAGGAGAATATGATGTTCAGATGGTGAGTATCCGTACTAAATACGTTTTAGAAGCACACATTGTTATTATTCAATTGAATAATAATATCATGATCATAATAAGAAATCACCATACCATCATCAGCAAGTAATTGTTGTTGTTTTTAAATAATAATAATAAGACTAATTATTATCATGTAACAAGAGAATACTTACGTGAACCCAACCTCTCGACATTTCAATACCAATTCCTCTCCATTCTTCTTCGGCTAGCAATTTTCCATCGAAATGTTTAAAAACACGATTACCAAATTCTCTTGGCAAGGTAACATGACGATATTCATTTTGGTCATCATAGTACTTGTCGCTATAGTTGAATTCCTTGCTAATATCTTCAGACATTTTGATAGTAGTATTTGTTGAACAATAGAGTGATTTTTTTATTGTTGTGATTAGTCTTCCAAAGATTGTTTATTTTTTGAATTTATAACTGTCAGAATTGGCGGGAATTTTTTTGTAAAAATGTTCAACGACAGGTTTAACACGCTCCTTGATGGAGATGATGATTCAATCTACGGTTCGAATAATAACTCAATGACAAGTTGGGAGAAAATAGAAAACCCAACCCTATACCAACGTATCACATGTACATCCTCGATTTTGGAGTATTGTTATTCAATGATTAAATTAATTCCTTAATATCATTTTGTATAAATTACAGAATTTTGCATGAACACAACATTAAAGGTAATAATAAATTCATCATTTAATGTCCAAAATTACAGGCGTTTAAGAATTGCTAATAAAACCAATTCATGGATGTTGAATCTTGATTCATTACAAAAAGAATCGTGTTATCATTACACCCAATTTTACCAAAATTAAAAAATTTACCGTAAAGTCCATTTTTGTATCAAAAACTCCATTCAATCAAAATCATTCAAAGTATTATTGAATGAATAGCCCGAAAATTTGATGGCGAAAAAAATTGTCTCCACTCTCTTTCCTTCTCTCTCTTACCAGTTGCCGACCTGCATTATCCAATTAGTGGGTGATTGTTTAATATATAGTTCCATTGGAGACATCATATTCTATCATCTAGTATAATATATTGTTCAAAGATTGTTTCAAGTATAGATAAAAATGAATTCGAGAGCATTTTCATCCTATGTGACATCGAAAAGATTGATATCACCACACTTGAATACTTCCAATACAAAAAATAGTAATCATTCGACAACATCATCGAGTAGTATATTTAATTTATTTAATGGATCGAGTAAAGTGGAAAAAAAGACTGATATTAATTTATATACAATTCTAGGAGTTTCAAAACATTCGAGTGATAAGGAAATTAAAAGTGCATATAAAAGCTTATCTAAACAGTATCACCCTGATTTAAATCCGAATGGTGAGGTGAGATTTAGAACAATTAATGAAGCTTACAAAGTATTAATGGATCCTGTGAAAAGAAAATTATACGATTCTAAATTCATTAATGATAATATTACCTATAGACCTATTATTAAATTTGATTCCTGTTTGGATATTCAACATACAATTTCCGTTAAAGAGTCTGATTTGAAAACTGGAAAGAAGAAAAAGTTCATGATTAATAGGAAGGTTATTTGTAAGGAATGTGAAAATAATTGCGAGGATAGTTGCCCTAACTGTAATGGGACAAGATTTCATACTATTGGCGAGGTTGTTAGAGTTACCATTGAACCAGGAATGAAAAATGGTCAAGTAATTCTAGTGTCAGGAAAGGGAGATGAAAATTTAAAGATTGAAAGTAGAAATATTGTGCATTATCTTGGAAATTTGGTTTTTACTGTTTCAGTATCTTCGTAATTATGCTAGGGTTACTTTCTTTTTTTGAGCTATTAACTTTTCAATGTAATCTTCAGAAGATTGGCCTCTGAAACACGAATAAATATAATCATACTTGTCAATTTCTTCCTGTGAAAGTGATGGTCTGCTGGTTGAGAGGGCTTGTATAAAGTGACTCTCTTTCACATAGACAGGTTCATTGGATTCTGGAGTGTGGTCTTTTGCCTTCTTGACCTTTGTTAGACTGGCTTGAATTTGTTTCATTTGTTGAGCCAATTCATCGCTCACAACAGTTTGATTTGAAACAGTTGACTTGCCCTTCTTTGCCTCTGCCTTATCAGTACTAAGTACTGTGAAAAAGTTTGTATCTTCATCTAAGAGATTATCCTGTCTCTTTTCCTTTGTTTGAGAGGTATCTCTGTATGCTGATAAAGTTGCTGAAAAGAAGAGAGCTTGCAAGTCGGCACCTGTGAAATTATGAGTTATGGAAGCAAGTTTTTTAAAATCTACATCTGATCCTATTTGAACATTGGATTGCTTGGAACAAATGACTTCCATAATATCTTGCCTTTCCTCCTCTGTTGGAATATTACAACAAACTGACTTGTCCAATCTACCTGGTCTCAACAAGGCAGCATCAATCAAGTCAGGTCTAGATGTGGCAGCCAAAACATAAACTCCCTTTCTAGATTCGACACCATCCAATTGACATAAAAATTGATTGACAACTCTATCTGTAACACCAGTATTGTCGTGACCTCTTTGAGCAGCAATTGAATCAAATTCATCAAAGAAAATAATACACGGCTTTGCAGATTCAGCTTGCATGAAAACATCTCTGACAGCTTGTTCACTCGCACCAACATACTTGTTCAAAAGTTCTGGTCCCTTAATGGAAATGAAATTCAATCCACATTCCTTAGCAATGGCACTTGCAATAAAAGTCTTACCACTTCCAGGTGGTCCATAAAGGAGAAGGCCAGAACGTAACTTGATTGGAGCATTCTCAAAGAGTGAGGCATATTTGGTTGGGAAAATGAAGGTTTCTCTCAGAATGTTTTTAACATCTTGAAGACCTCCAATATCTGAGAAGGAAGTTGTACTCTTTATCAACTTGATTCCCTCTGTGGATTGAGTTATAAAGTCTTTGGATGCCTTTGTAAATTCTTGAATGGTCAAAATAGTGTCAATACCTAATGATTCATACTTTCCTTCTTCCACTAGAGTTTGTAACTTGACATTGACCATCTTGTCCAACATATTTCTCACATCGAGAGGAGAGTAATTTTCAGTCCTATCAACAATGTAATCCAAAGTTTCTTCTGTCATACTATATTGTGAAAAATCAAAGACGTCTTCATCTGCTTCTGAGAAAAAGTCTGGTCTATTAGTGAGGAATCTTTGGAAGATCTTTCTTCGTTGCTCTCTGTTTGGTACACTGATTAAAAAGTTTTGCTCGAAAAGTTTTGAATTTTGAATAGAATCGTACGTTTCATCCAGAGATTTACATGTGACAATAACATTGACATTTCTTTCATAACTAGTACTGAAAAAAGATAGAGTGCTCAACAATTCAGTAAATGTTGAAGCAGCAACTCTAACATTAATATCTGGCATGGCTTCTTCTTGCTCAAAAGGACAAATTGAATCAATGTCATCAAAAATGATGAGAGAGGGGGCATTCATGATGGCCTCTTGTGCATAGCTCTTGAATTTCAAACCGAGAGTATCAGCTCTATCTCCAGCCAATGATGCACATGAAACAAAGATAGTGTAAACATTACAGTGTCTAGCCAGGGCCTTTGCATAGTAAGTTTTACCATTACCAACATTGCCTGAAATGATAATGTTCGAGTTGGAGTGAGTTGAATATTTGAATTCCTTCTTGAAAGGTACAGCCTCTGGAGAGTATTGAACTTGTAATCTGTTTAAAATTAATTGAACTTGTTCTGATATTTCAGTAATTTCACACAAATCAGGTACTTGAGAATAAACAGCATGTCTATGTTCCACAGCAATAGGATCTTCCACAATTGAAATATTATAGGAGGCTTCACTTCCAAAGAGTAGATATAAATTCTCAACGGATGACTTATTCAAAAATTCGCTAAAGGTTTGGTATTCATCCTCATCTTCCTTCTTTGAGGAAATAATAATTGATTCATTAATACTGACGAGCACATTTCCAAAACCTTTCAAGTAAATTACATTTCTCTGAGCCATAGCAATAGATGGAACAGTTAAGAGAGAATTGGTCTTGCGTTCCAAAATCCACTCTCTAAATATCTTGGTTAATTCTTGATAATTATCCATCGATACTTCAATGTCCTTTGGTAACATATCCAATATTGGTCTCACATAAATACTGTGAACAAAGTTAGGATATAATGGCTCTTCTATGTACTTTAAATAAACTGTAGAATGCTCAACAGCTCCAAGCATCCATATCAAGTGCTTTCCAACAAAAATGGTTGGCATGCTACACAATCCACTTGTTGCTTTCTCATTCAATACGTGTACTCTTCCATATATTATTCTCTATTAAAAGTTGAATTGATCGATTTTGAAATTATTGATAGAGAAATCAAATTATTGAGAAATTATTAATTAAAACATACTCTTTCCTTCTTTTCTTCAAATTCTTTCAAAGCATCAAGAGGATTCTTTTGTTCTTCAGCTTGTTCAGTTTCATCCTTGATAATATTCTTTCTAATGATATTCAAATGTAATACTTGAACTAAATCACCACTAACAAGTCCAATTTTAGTGGCAATATCTTTGGAAACATAAATAAATTTATCATCATCTATTTGCTCGTGAGTATATTTCAAATCCAATCTATTTGCAATTGTGGATAATTTTTCTAATTTCGATTTAATGTAATACTTTTTCTTTTCTTGTTTAACTTCATCAATAATTTCATGTTTAGTTTCAACAATTAATTCAGTTCCACTATCAATTATATACACATTGGTATCCTTATCATCGTTGCCACATTGATATGTATTTAATGTAATACTAATATTATTATTGATAAAAAGTGGGAATTTCATATCCCTGTATGCAATTCTAACTTGTGAAAGTAACTCCTCTTCAATACTATTTTGATTGAATTCCAAAATTTCCGAATCATCTATTGTTTCAGGTCTAACAAAAACACTCTTACACATTTTCACGTCCTTCAATAATTTAATAGTAATATTATCATTTTCATTAATTTCCAAACATTTAGCCAATGTTGATGGTATTCCAATCTTGTTCGGAGCTTGCTGATGAGTATGCCAACTCCAACACAAATAATCATCATCATCATGATTTATAATTTTAAATACTTGAATTTTCCCCTTGCTTTCATTCAATACTGCATTGGAGAGAACGTATTCGTGAGGTAATTGCACATAACAATCCCTTGTTGAAGTTAAAAAAACTTGAAACTCCTTCTCCGAGAAGGCATCATTTGCTTGGCTATTTGATGATGGCATTATTTTTTTAATAATTCTTCTTTCTATCTCCTTTTCATCATATTTTCGGAATTATTTAATAATTAATAAAATAGATAACAAGTCTTAATCTTAATGAACAAAGCACTCAATGAATGTACAATATCGGTAGATGTTTATTTACAGGGAGGGAGTGGATTGATTTGGCTTTTTGGTGATGAGTTTATAGTGAACAGGAGAGTTTGCCTTCTTCTTGGTGGTCAGTGTCACAACCTCTCCTCTTGAGAGCATTCCTACGAGTTGTGCCTGAGGTGTTATTGTAGATGGATTCCAACTACTTCTTCCCTGTTGAACAAAATCTGATGAGGCAATGTGATGAGATAGATTATTGGCCAACACTCTGCCACCATTCAGATTGGTTGTAAAGGTCTCCATTGTTGATATTATATCCCTCATGGCATTCTTTTTATACACTTTCAAGTCTTGTAAATATTCGAGTGGGATCCGAAAGCTTTCTCCATACTTTTTCAAGCAGTGAGTCATGTATTGAATGTCCTTATTAATTTCAATCAATTCTTCCTCCAGAATATTCCAATGATTTTGAAGATTGGAAATCACCTCTGCAATGTCCTTCTGTATAGTGTTTGAGTTCATTTTTTTTTGAGGTTTGGTTTTTAAATTTCAACGTTAAGCAGAGGCGCCAAGTGGAAATTGTAGTTTTTTTGGCGCCAATAATGACGGTTTGAAATCTTTAAGAAAACATGTTGATCATCATAGTAAACTCTTAACTACATCATAAAATACTTCTTGTAGGTATCATTAAAGGTTTTACTTTTTATGAGAGTGGTAAAAAAGAAATCAATTTAGTGGCTATGTAAACACATTCTTTTTCTTTTTTACCTATACAACAGAGGAGAAAACTTGCTCATATCAATCTCACTCTTGAAAAATAGTAAAAAAACTCTCGTACGGGTATGTTAAACAAATCCACGTAGTCTTCTATTGAGGTATCAAGTTATTATCAATTCCGTTAAATGATTGCACCTTCGTTGTTTATGATGAATATTAATATAAAAAATGGCAAAACAAGGTCCCTTCTTTTTTCATAAACAAAATAACAAAATATTAAGCACGAATATAGCGATACTAGATGGAACAGAAATACAAATTAATTTTTCTTCCATCAAATTTTACTTTAACAAAACAAAGTATTATTTTAGGATTAAATTATTAATTAATTGTGAACCACTTAAACAATATCAAATTGGATTACCAAAATGGATTATTATATGCATAGAATTAGTTATGGTAAATGAGATTGGATTAAATTTTTTAGTATTACGATTTAATTTTGCTAAGGACGTAATATTTGATTTTTCATATCCTTCATAATATTTCCTCTGTAAATTCATTTTCTTTTCTTAATAAATTAAATGCATCACTAGATTTAGGATGCACTGTTTTTCCTTTTGCACTTTTTATCAATTTCCAATAAATCTATAATCTAACAATTCTAAAATTATTAATTTATTTAACACAATTAATTACAATAAACAATCCAATGTTTCATTTGTGTACA